AAGAATTGAGGCAGTTCTGAAGGCAAAAGGGGGTCCAACCCGTTACTAGCGTGGTGTACCTAATAAAGTGGCCGGTGAGTGTATATATATATATAACTAAGCAATTTGTTGCAATAAACTGAGAACTTCAATTTCAAATAATGCTTTGAAATTTCTGAGTTTTTTATTTTATTTTGTAATGACACTTCACCAGGATGATGTCATCTGTCAATCAAGATAAACTGGTCAGAGTCACTTATTTGAGTGGCTGTTCCTTTACTCAAACAAAATAAATCACATACCAGTACTGAATCATGCTTAAAGTTGTAATGCATACTAGAGATGCAAACAATAATCAAATTACGATTATTTGTCAAATAATAGTTTATTAGATTAAATTCCTTTTCAATCGATTAACTGATAACTGGTGGTGCATAGCATGGTCCATTTACATCACTCTAACCAAAAAGGTATGCCTTTTCTGAGACTCCGTTTCAATTTGAGTCAAAAGTAGAGACTTCAAACATTAAACCAGTTCTTAAATTGTGTTGTTAGGCAAAGTAGAACCGGAGTTATGATAAATAGTATACACCACATTTTGTTTTCTTAAAATGACGGTCCGATTTGATGCGCATTGCGTTGTCGGGTTGCGTCGCATCGCAAGCAGGAAACATGTCGCGTGGAAAAAAACACCTCAGTCCACCATCAGTTTCATCCTCTCGAGATGAAAATATGAAAACCCTCTAATCTTTATCCTGACCGAGGTCCAACGTTATTTGCCAAGCAGTAAAAAATCTGCAGAACGAAGAGAGAGAGAGAGAGAGAAAGAGCAAGCGGCATTTGGGTGTCGGATTCAGTAGTGGAGGGAGTAGGGACCTGCCCCAAAACCAGCTTACTGGGCCAAATAGAACCAAACATCAGTTCTGAGCTCTGAAGAACAGAGTAAGGTGTTCATATTCCAGCCACAGATAGCACTTGAGTCCAGGTAGACAGCTTTCCCCTCAGCATAAAAAAAAATAAAACTATAAAAATCTGTTGTTTCAGAACCAACAAGGAGGCAGCAAAAAGAATCAGAGATAAATCGTAACTTCTAAATTTACTGAAATTCTAATTTTAATAATAAATTAATTACAGTTTTGCATGTAAAACCATATTTTATTCTTTTCATCTGTTTTCCCACCATTCAGCAGCCTAATGAACTTTTGTTTTTCTGTGTTTTATAAAAATGTCCAATTTGATAACGTGTGACATCCACAATTTTTTGTTTATTCAGTCGGTATTTAATACAGCTGGCAAAATAATTGGTTAAAATTTATTGATCTGCTTAATTTTTTTTAAGGCCAGCGTATTATATAAGATTATCCCTTCATGTTATGAAAATACCCTCTTGATACAAGAGAAAACTCAGGTTTTTAAGAAAATGTCTGCCTATCAAATAATGTTTAAGTTCTAACTCAGTAAGTACTCGTATCGGTACTCGGTATCAGCAAATCCCCAAACTGAAGTACACATACTCAGTTTGAGAAAAACTGTTATCGGTGCATCTTTATGGTGTATTTCCATAGTCTTTTTCCTTCTCATTTATAGTTATCAGATTCAAAGGTGTTAGTTTTTACATCTTACCCTCTGTTATACTCTGAGGACCATGAACGAGCGCTGCCTCTGCCCGGTACCAGAGGAACAGCTGCAGTGTAAACTTGCTAAATTAACTGGGTCTCCATGAGCTTCACATGCATTATTCTAATCAAAGCATATTAGATCATCCAGATACTTTAGACATATGGGTCTCTGTATCCTTCATGCCGTTGCCATCTGTTTTCTCTTTTTTTTCCCACTCACTCTCCATTTCGGTAGATCCCATGCTCACACAGCTGCCTCTTTAAGCAGCTAGCATAGATTTCTAACAGTGTGACGTTTCCACATGCAGTTGAACTTGAAAGACTATATGTATGCTTGACTATGTGACGAGAGGGTTCAAAATTGAATGCAAAAATTGTAAAACATGCACACATCATCATACAGCTCATGTGTGTCATAAAAAAACTGATTTAGATTCAGATTATTTTTTATTGTCATTTGCAGAATTTTTGACATTCTTACTAACACATGCTTTCCCTTAGATAAAACTAATTTTATGCTTACAAGGTTGCTCCTCATGTCCAACATGCTTTTCACACATACAATTTTCTAAAAAAAAAAAAAAAACTTTTGTTGAACGCTTACATCAGTCAAAATGCTGTATAACTGCACATCTATTAAAAAAGGATCCTAGAAAATCTTCAGTGATGTGAGAGGAGCAGTTGTCTATAGAGGGAACTTCCATTTGTGCATCTAATGGTTGCTTACTGAACATTTCCACTTTTTTACTCTTCTTGCACTGAAGCATTCGTATAATGACAGTGTCATCACAAAAGCAGAGTTATAGATAAGCAGTTGGTCTTCAAATCATCCATGATGCGCTGTAAACAAAACACTGGTTTCCAAAGTAAAATACATTTCCATAATGTTTGGTCTTTTGTGTCCCGTAAGCACCACTCAAGTGTTTAAAGATTTCAAACTACTCTCAAGCCTATGTTTAGGTGAAAATGGGGACATTTAAACTTAATTTTCTGAAAATACCTCATGTGAAAATATTTGTTTAGGCATATACGTTCCTGTGATTTTGCACAACATGTCGGAGAATCATCATGGTAAGTGTAAGTGTGCACAATAGTCACATTGCGGGTCCAGTGATGTAGGAGGTAAATTAAATCAACACGTTAACTAGGGTCTAAACCACTAAAACCACTATTTATTGCACCAAATGGTCACGTGTTACGGCATTTATTTTGATAGTTTGCTACCACTGGCGGAAGTGGGCAGCATCGTGTTAAAAAAGCTGAAACTTTCATTTTGTTGTGAAACTTCTTGGACAATAATGACATTTTTCTGAGAAGTGCTGGTAAGTTCTTGAGCTGTGAAGGAATACAACAAGGATCTTGATGAAAATGAGGAAGATGAGCAAAATCACAAAGAATTAGAGGAAAAGAGGTAAAATACGGTTAGCATGAATGCTAATATTAAAGTGTATTAAACAGAAACTAGAAAGACACAAAGGCAACAGGTTAGGTGGGAAAACACATTTCACATTTGCCCATGTTAGAAGGAAACATGTAATCAGGTCCCAGCAAAATAAAATATAAGAATAACTCTCAATTAAAGACAAAAAAACATACTTGCAACACACAAAAATAAATAAAATTGGTGTAGATTCATCATCAAGACAAGATGATGTGTTATTCAAGGCATAGTTTTTCAAATGTCAATATACAGTATAGTGCAGGGTTATGATAGAAAAAAAATCACAAAGTCAAATTTTTTCCAATATCATGCAGCCCTAACAAAAATGAATAATTTTTACATTTACAGATGATAAAAACCTTCGATTGCACACATCTGCAGAAAGCATTTTTACCAGAAGCTTAAAGAACAAATCTGAAGCCATCACTTCAGCAGCTGCCCTGCTGCAGGGCTTTGACAACACAAGCAAGCTCGTATCGGTTGTTTCTCCTCAGCCCAGCTGCACATATATGTGCAAGCAGCACCCAGAAAACAGCCTGTTCTTCCTGCTAATGCCTCCTTGTGTGTCCCACAGCCCTATTGGCAGATTTCCGACAAATCAATATCAATCCAAGTTATAAAACAGACAGAAATATATTCCGATACTAAGCTTTTATGGCCATTGATATTCCTACAGGGTCATAAAATTATTTTTTATTTCCGTGCTGCATTGGGTCGATGGTGGGTGACAGTGAAGCCAGGAAATTAAATCCCAGGAACTTACCCAAGTTGGTGACAGTTAACAGGTCTAGACGTCTTTGTTGCTGAAAGAAAAAAAATGAAAAAGAAAGACAAATGTCACAAAATAGTAATCAATACTTTCATCAATTCTCATATTTTAGTCTTGCAGAAAGTCTATTGATCCCTTTCACATGTAGAAAATTGATTTACTCGGCTCAGAAAAACTTCTAACTTACCTTAAGCAGCAGCTTTTTGGTGTGATGCAGACCTAATGTCTCCAATTTCATTTTCAGACTATTTAAAATCTGATGCAAGTAATTTTTTTAATGACAGTGATTTTCTGTTAATACTTGCATTAAATACATTTAAAATTTAACTGAAAACATAAGAAAGAGTTAGAAATATGTTACCATATTTATATGCCAAACGCTGTAAAAATTAAGAAAACTGTGCTGCTATATAAGGCTACGTTCAAACTGCAGGTCTGTTTACAGAAGTAGCCTATGGATGCTACACGTTAGCAAGTCAAGATAAATAATTACTGGACATGCTTGTTTAGTTCGCTGTTTACATTTGAACCTGTCTCTGGTCGGCTGCTCTAGGGCAGCTTGTTACTTTAGGATTAAGAGCGATGTGCTGGAAGTATCACTCTAGTAGCTGTGGGGTGTATTCACACCAGGAAAGTCCTTTGGTCCACTTGTTTGGTCCGGACCAAAAGTAGACTTTATTTTTTTCATTTGGTGCGGTTTGCATTCACATTGTGCTTTTTTGCAAACAAACTATAACTTGTAAACAAAGCCACGAGGCTGACGATCATTGCTCCCATTGGACAGAAAGGATGGGGGCGGGACTGAGCACACAGACCCAGAAAAAAACAAGGAAGTCCTGCATGCTGCGGTTCTGATGCGCACATTTTTGCTGATAGTACAACTGCAATATCATTTAAAATGTCAGAAGCAGCTAATTTAACGGTGGTTCCGTGATGATATTCAAATTTTGGAGCGGCCTCAGTAAATGTGTCCCGCAACCCAAAGGAGACGAGGTGCTCTGCGTGTTCTGACCCACTACATGCTGACAGCAGAGCGGCTAACAGGAGACGATGAAACAGGTACGATTTCAGTTTATTTAGCTCAGCAACGGTGGCCTGTGAAGTCCAAAAAGGCACATGTTTAATGCAGTTGGTTCGGTTCGAGTCCAGTCTGTATTCACACCAGAAGCGAACTGAAGCGAACTGCACCAGAGTTCGTTTGGAAACGAACCGAGACCACCTCAAAAAGTGGATCTCGGTCCGTTTGTTTGATCCGCACCAGAGTTCACATGAGTGTGTTCACACCTGCACAAAAGGTCCAGACCAACGCTGAAAACAAACTCTGGTTCATTTAAAGCAGAGCAAATTATCAGGTCTGAATACGACCTTAGTATCGATACAGTCCAAGATAGGCGTTGCTATCATATATTTGGGTGGAATCTCTGCCATCCAGGATATGGAAAATTAAGAAGTGTTAATTTGACCTACAGTGTAAGAAACGGTGTGACAGTTTTTTATTTTTTTGGATGTGTGTGTGTGTGAGAGAGAGAGAACAAAATTTTGAACAAGTGTAAATGTAATGTTTCATTTTAATGGTGTGTGATTTTACACTTGATCTTTTGAACAACTAAGAAATAATCTGAAGAAAGTACTACATTTTTACCCCCAGTCTCTCCTTAACTTGCTGCCCTCCTTTCCCCGCCACACACACACACACACTCACTCAAGTTGGTTTTCCTAGCCCCGTGGGCATGTTGCATTGGCTTCCATTCATTTTCCGGTCATTTCTATAACCTAACCTTGACCCCTTACCCTAAACCTAAACCTAACTTAAGTTTAATACACACCTTAGTCATAAACCTAATAAATGACCCACCAACGGTATTTCTCCTGATGGAGACTGGGCTTTTGTCCCCATAAGGAAAAATATGTCCTCGCCAGAATGTGTGTACTGGAAAAATGGTGAAAAATTGTCCCCATCAGGTAACAAAACCATGCACACACACACACACACACACACACACACACACACACACACACACACACACACACACACACTTGACTGTTGAGCACTGAAGTAATCAACACCTCAGGCTACTCCTCATCTCCCAGTCTCTGAGGAAAGACGATCTTCACATCCCAGGATAGGATGAAGGGTCTGTGTGTGAGTGTTGGAAGTGTGTGTGAGTGTTGGAAGTGTGTGTGAGTGTTGAAAGTGTGTGTGTGAGACACAGTCACAATCAGCACCAGCCTTCAGGACTTTATTAATAGTCAAGCATCACACTGACCATTTGAGATGGACAAGCAAAGAGACTCTCAACACACTCTTTGAACACAGCAGCACCTAAAGAGGAACTCACAGATGAGGCTTCTAAACACTTATTTTAGTCTTCAGCAGATGATCTTAGACAAAGTGACATGAGAGCTATAAGATGAGTGGAAATGGATATGCCAAATAAATTAATAAGTTTACCTCTGAAAACAAGCTAATATGTAAAAAAGCACACCTTACACAGACTGTAAGTTACATGTGAATAAATGCCTGAGTGTCACTGAGGGTGACCACGAAGCAGCAGAGGTCACTGTAACAACATGAGACGAGCTGATGTGACGTTCGTTCTCTGCTTACACACTGATTTACACACACACATCTTTTAACAAACACACACAATGAGCTTTTACTAACATCTGAAGAGAGCAACAAGTCTCCACAATCCCTCAGAGATAAAACTAGAGTAAAAAAACACTTGTTGAGAAGCCTCAGACTGTGTTCTGTGATTGTATAGGAGAAGTTTAATATTTTCACAAGTAAAACCTCCTTGTTTTGTTACGCAGTACTGACTTATTGTTCCCACTGTCTGAGACAAGGACTGCTTTCGATGAGTCTGAGGAGCTTTTCTCTCACCCCTTCTTACTAAAGTATACTGTATATGCCAAACATTTATTTCATTAGCCAGATAACTGTACAAATTGGCTATTTATGTTCAGTGACGGCTGGTCTAAGTGGGCTAGTAGGGCTAAGCCCTCCCTGGTGTTCACAATAAAAATGTTAAAATAAACAATATTATAAAATTATAATATAATTATATACAATTTATAAATAACAACTTAAAAATAAACAACATTTAAAAATAATATATCTTATTTTGTGAAATTTACAAGGAAAACTGGTGCCAAACCACCTGGGAAGATCCCAGGGTTGTTCTGCAGGGCTAACTATACACAGCCCATTTTCATGTAATGTGTGTCCTGGTTCAGAATGATTGACAGGCGTCTCGCCACGCCCCCTCGGTTTGCGGCTCATCGGGGCTAATTCTGTTCAGCCCAGGATCAGCCCAAAGCCACAGGATTCAGCCATTTAGGGTGGACTTACAAAAACGTGCCTCCAGTGCCAGTGTATGTGGGCGTGGTTTGGTGTAGACTGACGTATAGCGAACAGCATTAACATGTCAAGAAATTGAGGCGCTAAACAACTTAGCTAAGTTTCTTAAAACAAAAAAGTATTTTAGACCAGAACACGCCAGGAGAAGCTTAAAGTAAAAGAGCTTGGACCAGATCTGCTGGACAAGAAAAGCAGCAGAACAAAGACAGAGGGAGAGTTTACACTCCATTATTTTCCAAGAACTGGATTAGCAACAGGCTAAGCTAACTGCTTTTAGCGAGGCTAACGGCTTGTTTTGATTCATTGCCTCATTTTTAAAGCATCCGGATCTGACCCAGCATAGATTTAAACAGGTAAGAAAAAAGCTAAAATACTTTTGTAATGCTTTTAATCATAGTAGTGTTATCATATACTGTAGTTGTGCTTTTAATCATAGTATAATATAGTTATATTGTTTTATAATTGTTAACACAGCTTTAAATAAATACAATACAACATAACATAACATAACATAACATAACATAACATAATAAACTCACCGGCCACTTTATTAGGTACACCACGCTAGTAACGGGTTGGACCCCCTTTTGCCTTCAGAACTGCCTCAATTCTTTGTGGCATAGATTCAACAAGGTGCTGGAAGCATTCCTCAGAGATTTTGGTCCATATTGACATGATGTGAATCTCCCGTTCCACCACATCCCAAAGGTGCTCTATTGGATTGAGATCTGGTGACTGTGGAGG